AACTGAAATTTATCCAAAAAATTTTTAGAAATATTCTCATTTTGAGCTAAAGTAAGTTATTTAAAAATGACTTTTAGATGGAATTTTTACCTTTTTTTTTTCTGTTTTATTTTTTGGAATATATTTTATTTTGAAACTAAAGTAAATAAATCAAGATAATTTTTTAGGTAGAAATTTACCATTTTTCTTATTTTTTATAATTTAAAACATGTTATTTATATATTATATATCAAACAAAGACTGATATTGATATAATCACATTAAATATAATACTTATAATAATAAAATAATTATATAACAACTTATAAATTATTTATGACTATTTGAAATATTTATTCATTTTTGATTGTTTTTAAAAAAAAAATTAAAATTAAAAATAAGAAAATTATTTATATATAAATTTTGATTTTAAAAAAAATCATAACCCAATTGTTATCATAAATTTTTTTTTTTTAAAAAAAAGAATAATTTGATTAAAAAAAAAAATAAAAAAAATTCTTGACCTAGTTACTATCATGAATTTTTCTAAAAAAAAATATTTTCAAAAAAAAATAAAAAAAAAATATATATATATTATTTTAATTTCTATATATTAATTAAAATTAAATATAAATATCAAATATCAAAAATAGCAATTATAATAATATAATATTTAAAAATACAGCCAAACCTTAATATAGTAAATCCTTAATATAGCAAATGTTTAAATCAAATATATTAAATATACCTTATTATAGTAATTATAGTAAACCAGCCAATTAAATTCTTTAAAATATTCATTATAAGCTTATAATGAAGTTGAGGTTCAGACCCTAGAGTTCGTTATATCAAGAGTTTACTATACTTACAAATTGCTTTTTAATAGCAAGTTTTCTTTTATTTATATTTTTTAAAAATACTTTATATTATATATCTTTTATTTATAAAGGTTTATGTGAAATTTGATAAATGTATTCGCAAGCTAAATATTCACTTATTTAGCAATAAAAACATTTATTTTGAAAATTTTTTGAAATTTAAGAACATTCTTAATCCTAATGTTCTTTTTTATAACAAAAATAACAATTTTTGATAAATGATAGTAGATTATTATTTATTAATTGTTAAGTTTCATTTTTATTTTTTTTATTTGAAGTTATGTTTGGTATTTTATTTTGTATTTCATTAGAATTTTCTTGAGGAATTTTATTTTCGTCAGGGATATTATTTAAACTTTCATTCAAAATTTTATTGTTTTTTAAAAAAAGATATATTGATTGTGATTGTATTAAACCATTGATAATGATTTAGTTTTCCATATTTTGTTGAAATTTTTAAAAAGAAAAGTTTTTAAAATCTTTTCTTAATTATAAATAAAAAATAATTTGTAAACAAATGAGTTTTACTTATCATAAAATATGAAAATTTACTATTTTAAAATAATAAACATGTGTTTATTTCTTTTTAAATCAATATTCTTCATTATTATAATATAATTTTTAACCTTAAAGAGAAATTATAAATTTTGATTTACCAATAATTTAATTTTTATTGGTTAATTTTGATCATTAATTTAATCTTTAGTTTTGATCATTGATTGTTAGTTTGATTTTTAGTTATAATCGTTTATTTTGATCATAAATATAATTTATATGTGTATTTTATATGTTTTATAAAAATACATATTTTTAACATATGGGTAGTATTCTATTAAAATTGAGGTACAGATCATATGATTTACTATGTCTCGTAACCCACTTTTAATAGATCAGCTCCCATATTTTTAATTTATTAAAAATTTTTGAAAAAAATATTATAAACAGAAGTATTACATATTTTATTATATAAGTAAATAGTATAAAATTTTTTGTCAATTTTATATAAATATGTATTTACATATATTGTATATATATAAATTTATAAAAAACACATAATTTATATATACTGTATAATACATATTTTAATTTTTTATAGGGTTAGAAATTTATGGCATAAGATAAAATTCAATAGGCTATATGAAATTAACAATTCTCAAACCCTTTTAACTAATTATATAATCAAATTTTTATGAATTTACCTTTTTCTTATTTTATCTTATTTTTTATTCTTTTATATTTTTATTCTTTTTTCTTATATTTCTATCAATAAACTCTTTTTCTTTTATCTTTTATATCTTCATAAGTCTATTTATCCTAATGCGATGAGAATATATTGAAGATTTACCAGTTTTGACACCTTTTTTTTATTTTTTCTACTAACTGATTGTATGATATTATTACCCAAGTGAAAATGAGGCACAGCAAATCAAATGGCCAGAAATATGATACAAAAAGTATGATTAATATTCATCATCAAAGAAATCATAAAAACGATCTCATAATAAAAATGTAATCATAAATTGAAATGTTGATCAATGAAATTAGGATTATGTAATATAATATGTCACATCTAAAAATTAGGAGTAAATGTAGTAATTATGAAAAGTTATTAAATCATAATTAGGAAATTGGTTATTATTATATAGTCATGATGTATTAACTATGCAATAAAATATGTAGTAATAATTGTACAATGATTAAATAGTTAAAAGTAGTGATACCTGACGAAATTACCTTTCTTAATATGATAAAATTGACGAAACCGAAATGATGAAACTAGTTTTTTATTAATGACGAAATTATTTTACTTAAATGCCGAAATTATATTTAACTTGATCTAAATTCCTTGAATTAAAATACATTAAAAAATATAATAATTTTATATTTATTCATATAAAAATATTAAAGAGACGAAATTTTTGACGAAATTACAATTTTTCAAAAAAGAGTTTAGTCAGGTATCACTAGTTAAAAGTAATGCTTATATAATAATTATCTAATATATCTGTAATTTTAGATCAATTCAAAATGTATAAATAGGACAAGTTGGATAAGTTGGGATTATTAAAGAGATGGCGATCTAGAGAAGTAATTAATCTAAAAGAAATATAATGTGAAGAATTAGTATTGATGATTGTGCAATCACTTATAATGTTATAATATTTTAATAAAACACTTTTTTTATGTTTAACAAAATTATTCTTTATTTATTTCTCGTAATGTTTATGTAATCTAATTATGTATTACCTCTATCACAATTCATTAAGTCTTTATACTTAAATAAATTACCATATGATTCAGTTTAAAAAGGTTATGATAAATTTCTTTGAAGATAGGTGGTAGTAGCGATTAAAGATATTTCATCAAATTAACTAAAATTTGTAACATAATGAACTCAACCTCTTACTTAAAAATAAACATCCTATTTTTCGGGCAACAATATATCAATCTTCAAAAATTATAAATTTTAGTAAAACTTTATAAATCTTAGTAATAACTTATAAATTTTTGTAGTTTGTGAATCCTTATAATAAAACATAAATCTTAGTATAATATAGCCTTTATGAGTTTTAATAATAAATCACCTGCCTTTGTAAATCTTTGTAAATCTTTGTGAAAACTATACAAGTTTTAATAAAACTTAGTGAAGTTATTATATAAACTAAAAAAAGTTATCACTTAAACATTCTGTTTAATTATAGTAATTATAAAAATTGCACATTAAAATATAATTAAAATTAAAATCTGAAAATAAAAATTTTAATATGCTTAATAATTTAAATAATTTGTAATAAAAAAAAAGAATATTACAAAAAATTTAATTTTTTATTTTAGTAAAATAAATTCAGATTTAATATTAATTCAAAAAAAAATTTTTTAAAACTTTTTTCTTTTTATTATAAAATATTCATTTATTTATTAATTTTAAATATTATTCTTAAAATTTTTATTTATTATATATAATTAGTTTGAATTTAAATTATTTATTATAATTAATTTTTATAAAATAATAACTTATTTTTGTACATTTATATTTTTATAATTTATATGAAAAAATAAATATTTATTTATTTATTTTCTTTATATAAAAGATTTGTTAAAAAATGCAATTTTTTTTAAAATTAAAATTTGAGTAATATTAATCTATAATTATAAACTTTAATTGGTACATTTTATATTACATTAGCTTATTACCTTTTTTTAATATATATAAAAAATAAATTTATTTTTAATTAGATTTTTTACTTTGTAATAAAAATTCTAATATTTTTTTTTGTAATATAATATATTAAATTTAATTAGAAAAATAATCAAATATCATAAATTATACTAAACATTAGAATTATAAGAAATACATAAAGAAATAAATAATAATTTTTTATTGATTCAATATTTTTAATAAACCAAACATTAATAATCAGATAATTTTGATAACTTTTATTGGATAAATATCACGTGCATTTTATTTTCGGTTGATAATGCTGTATTCCGACAAAAAAGTTTTGTGGTTTTGAAGATTTCTAGTTATAGTTAGAATATAATAATATTGTTTAACCAAAAAAAAAAAAAAATTTTTTTTGCGTCAGATATTTTTTTTTCAAGTATGATAAACATTGCAAAGAATATACTGCAATATTTCAATAAAGATCAGAGTGTATACGTAAATTTGGATGTGTACAAATTAATAATAAATAGTATGATTTTTTTATTTTTTAAATCATTTATAATTATAAATGATTTTCCAATTCCGGCTGAAGAAATATGGAAATATATTTTTTTTATATTGGACCTAAGACATTTCGGACAATAATTAAAAATGATTATCTGTCAATGTGAGTTTAAATGAAACTAGTTTTGAATAGAGTTTCGGAAATCTCCATATTGTTCCTTATATATAACTAGAATTGATTCTAAATTAAGGTACAAACGGTACAAAAGTATTGAAATTACTACTTGTCACAAGTTTTTTTTCACGATTGATTAATATTTGAGTAACTCATTTTTTTTTTGTCAAATAAGATCTTCTGGTTACGAATAAAGTTTCAAAGAGTTATATAAATAAAAACATTTTGGTATATGCCATGCTAATTTAGCATTCTTCTTTTCTTCCCATTTTTTTTCTTCTTTTTTTTTTTAATAAAGATGAATTTAATAGTACAAATTATTATCCTTGGAATAATTTTTATTATTTCATCAAAATTATTACGTCGAAAACAACAATTAAACATAAATGAGCCACCGTTAGTACCCTATAAATACCCAATAATCGGGCATACATTCGATTATTATAGAGATACAGAAAAATTTATCAATAAATGTTGTGAAGAATATGGAGAAATATTTTCGTTATATGTATTTGGTAAAGTGATAACCTTTGTGGGCAAAGAACTTTCTCCCGAAGTTTTCAGGAGTCACAAAGATTTCAATTTTGATATTGCATTCAAAGAAAAATTTCCCTTGGAAAGATTCATGAATCGCCCGGATAAATTTTTTGCCCCTTTACCTAAAATAATATTTACCTATTTATCACAATCATTACCATCATATACTGAAAGGGTTCAAAAGACACTTATTGAGGCTATTGATGAAATAATCGGCGATGGAAAGGTCATACAAAAGCCTTTGAATACTTTTCAATTAATCATCGCAAGACCAATCGCAGCATCTTTAATTGGTGAAGAATTTTCTGATGATAAAGAATTGGTAAATACTGTAGCTTATGCTGCAAGTGATTTTATTCCATTCTTATCGATTCCACCATTTTTAAGTTTCATTCATCCGTTGTTACACAAGGAATTTTTAGTGTAAGTAAGTTTTCAAGTTAATTGTTAAATGTCGAGTTAATGAGTAAATTCTAAACGCGCATATATATTTTTCTTGAATAGTTTATTGTTTCAAATCTATAATCCCTTCAAATCGCATAGGGAAGTGATTAAACGAAAGATTTCACCTGTAGTCGAAAGAAGATTAAGCAGCATGAAAACGAACAAATCCTATGTTCCTCCTGTTGATATATTACAAAAATTTATTGAACTTTTAAGTCAAGATTATACAGTCGATATTGAAGTTTTAACTGATTATGTTATTACCGCCATATTTGCTGCGGTGCATACAACTTCATCTTTCCTCACCAATTGTTTACATCGTAAGTAACTCACATCAAAATTTTTCTTTTTTTAACAAAAATATACTTATGGATTTAAAATAATATTTTATTCAGAATATGCAAATTATCCACAATTCCAAAAAGAATTATTGGAAGAACAAGAACGATTATTACAAAGTAAAAATGGAAAGACCTATTATACTTCTAAAGAAATTGATAATTTGGTTAATCTGGACAGCTTCTTTAAAGAAACCTTAAGATTAACCACAAGTATAGTTTACTTTGAACATATGACACTTAATTCTCATTTTACCTTTTCGAATGGTTATCAAGTTCCAAAGGGTATGTTAAAAAAAGTCGTTTATTTTTTAACCTTATAAACTTTAACCAATCAAATCCTTTTTTATATAGATCGATTCGTTTATATTCGATTACAAGAAGTTCATCGTGATGAAGAATTACAAGGTCCAAATCCAAAGGAATTTAACCCTTTCCGTCATCTAGGAAAATCACCTGCAACAAACGTAGCAAAAGACTTTCTCGCATTTAGTTTTGGTAAACATGCATGTCCAGGCCGATATTTCGCTGCAAGTGAAATTAAAACCGCTTTACATTATTTAATTTTAAAATATAATATTAAAAATCTTGATGGTAAAAAAGTTTATCCACAAATCAAGGGTCCTTTCAGATTTTCTAGTGATGAAGGTTTAGTGCTTGAAAGAAAAGGAAACAATGTGTAATTAAAAGTATTGTATTATCATTATCATTTTTTTTTATGTCGTTTTATTATTTATTTATTATCTTGGAAAGAAAATCGAACCGTCGTCATAATATTAATTAATTAGGAGACTAAAACTAATAAAAAGAACACAACATTGGACTTGATCTTTTATTTTACGGAAAAATTTTTTTTTTTATTTTACCTTTTTAAATTCTTTCCTAGCTTCAATGCTGTGCAAATAAATAAATAACTATTAAATTATTGTATATAAAAAAAAAAAAATTTTTTTTAAAACAAAAAAAAAAAAACGCGGACTAACATTTTTAAAGAATACTTAAGATAACATTACATAAAATTTCATTACATCATCAAAACTTTTAAATAATGCCATTTTTTTTGGAGATGATAAATGAAAGATTATCCTTATTTATCATTCATTTAAGCAAAGTAGTAACATTACCATTTTTGGATTTTTCAAAACTCTATCACAGTTAAATTGAAATATATTGTACAACAATTGCATTCTAGTTTTTTTCTTGAATTGAAAATTTAAATAAAATTATTATTTATACAAATGGAAGACGCGTAAAAAATAAAATATCTATGCTGCGGAATCCCTCAATACCGTCGACCGCAGAGTAAAGGAATAATGAAGAAGATTAAAGGAATGAATGAATCTCAAGGCAAAGCAATTTTTTAAAATATTTCTTTTTAATCCTTTATCACTATCAGAAACTTTATAAATTCCTATAATTTTAGGTGTAACCTTTTCATCATTAATATTTCTAATATTATATTTGAATCAACTTATCCCAAAAGACGTCTCCTGCGTTTATTCTTGCATCACGTGATGCTGATCCAATGATGTCGTTATACCCGCATGATTCAGGATGAGTAAACTTTTGCATTTAATAATTTTAATGGGATAATAATAAAAGATTGACTACCATTTTCCAATCGTTGAATTTCTCTCAGCCAAATAAATGATGGCAACATTAAACAAGAACAAGATTTTCGTTCACTTTTCATTTGTTAAACTCAAGTCGATCAACTCTTAATATAATCTAGTATTCGTTTCGCAAACGTGAACAATATTTATGTATTATTTAAAATGGCGTCAAATCCATGAATTTTACGCATTGATATAAATGATAACAAAAATTAATAAAGAAGATTTGCGATGTTTGTGCATCCACTTGCTTTAATGTGATCAATAGATTTGCAGATTTTCAAAATGGTAACTTTAAATGAAATTTTCAAATCGATCGCAATCTATGTATGAAAAAACGCGAAATTTCCTGGAATTTATGGTGAACAACCTTTTGTTTTGGAAATTAAAATCAAAATCAACTGATGCCAAAATAAAATAAAAGTGATATGAATTAACCAAATTTAAATTCAAGAACCCCGGAGAAGAATTCCCAGAATAATCTTGTTTTTTTTGGATAAATCACTGATGATAAGAAAAAAGAATTTCAAATAAAATTATTTGAATATACCGTACTTGATCTTGTACCTAAGAGGTCTTGGGCTATTACTTTTTCTATTGTGAAAAATTTGTTACCCACTATTTTAATTACAAGGTCCATCTTTATTAAAGGGTTCAATTATTAAGAAATTAAGTCGTGATCGAACGCATCCTTGAATAAAAAAAGAAAATTTTTTGATTTATTCTTTTTTCATAATGTCAAAAAGAAAACAATCAAGCTCAAATATATCTAATGCTTCAATATCAATAGACAAAGTTGAATTAATATTTTCAAAAAAGAATACATTCCAAATGACAAAATCACAAATCTTAAAAAATGATGGAAAGCTAATAAAATGTATTGAAGATGCATTACGTTATATAAATGTATTTAATTATCCTTATGAAATGGTTTATTACGTTGTAAAAGATGATAATGATATTTGTTATTCGATACGTTCCGATAAAAATGCTACTAAAAACATTGAAGATTTATTGAAGGAATTAATCATTTCTGATAAAGGAAAGAAAATTGATAAAATTTATTTTTTGGCAGATAAAAAGGTATTTTAAAAATTCCAATTTTTTTTTTTTTTTTTACAAATCACATTAACTAATAAAATATAACATTTTAAACTTTACAACAATGTAATATTAAGTGTGGAATTAAAACATTTGTTTATTATAATTTTGATCTTATTATTTTTATTTCATTTATATCAAGTCTAATATGGTATATTATTACTGCTAATCCTAAGTCAAAATATTTTTTATTTTTGATTGGAATTATTTTTATTTTTAGAATATTCAGATATATGAAATAGATTTTTGAATTTCAACTTTGCAATAATTCAACACCTCCTCTCTTCAACTTTTCTGAATGAACCTAATTTGATGAATTAACATAATTGTTAATGTTTTAATTAAAAAAAATTTAATATTAAAAGTTACAATTTGAACAATATTGAGGAATCGCTGGAGTAGGAATGACGGTTAAGTCGACTCTTTAAAAAACGACTCCAATTTTTTTTCAGCCGTGGACTGATCCAAATTATGTTAGTTCTCTAGATAATTTGTCAAAATAAAGGTCAAAGAATTTAAAGCCAAATTGGGATTCTAGCAATTAGAAAATTCAGTAGAGTGTAAAATGATCGAACAAATTGATAAGGTTTTAGACTAACTACAACGGTATGATTGTAACTTTCATAAAAATCTATTGAAGCTGCCTTATTTTTGTGAAGATTTGATTCCAATTGATCTTCTTACTATCATGACTAATCTCCTATTAGTCATTGTTATGCAAGATATGCAAAATAACTAAATTGCTCTTAATTAACATGATCCAGCATAAGAATATTTGAACAAATGTAAAGAGCAACGCAAAGGATTACTTGAACACGTTACTTATGTTACTGTGATAACAGATGATGATGAATTATGGATGATGATGATGATGATGATGATGATGATTGAGGATGAGGGTGAGGGTGAGGGTGATATGATAATGAAATTACTGAAGAAACTAGTGTTGAAATGGTATCGTTAAGTTGGGCAAAAACTTATAAGAAAAGGAGGAAAAGATGGAAAGTCAAAAAGATGAGGATATGTCATTAAAGAAAATGAACAGGAATTGTTATTATAAGATCTATAATTTATTAACTTACCTCTATGGAAAAAGAAAAATCTAAAAGTTTTATTCGATATATTAAAAAGGTTACTTACTTTCTTTCAAGATAATAACCTTTCCATTTAATTTTTTTTTTTGTAATAAAGTATGTTAGCATGCGTTGTTGTGTTACGCCAAGATATATTAACGAAATACATCACGTAAGACATCAAACCCGATGCCGGGTTATTGGGATTTATTTACACATCGATCGTAGATCGATATGTCAAATTTAGACTGGAATTTTTCCACTTCTTTATTATTACTTTATACCAAATAGTTTTGCCCTATACAACTCATCAAGCCAATCAAAATTTGCATTAGAAATGACATTATTCATTTTATCTGAATTTTTGATGTTCATCCAATTTTCACTAAAAAATTTCAACCCAGCTTCCTTCATTTCCAAATTTTTTGTTTGCCAACCTATCAATAATATTTCATCCCAAGAAGTTTCGTCAACGAGTCTAACAATTCTTTTTGATCCCTCCCTTTTTAAATCCACAATATCTCTAACATCTGCTTCAATATATAAATCTTTTAATTCTTCAAATGATAGTCCATTATCAAGTTTTCCACTATATAAAAAATAAATCATTCTTTTGAAACATTCATATTTTACATCTTTAATTGAAATTACTGGTGATTTTGATTCTTTCCAATTTCCTTGAAACAAAGCCTTAAAATATGATGATTTCATTGCAAGGACAAGTCGACTCGCTCTGACTTCGGATCCACAATTAAATTTAAATGTAATATCACTAAAACTATCATCATTAAAATAATTTTCAAATGATGAAGATGGTATTATTGATTCATTAGAATTCTTTTCGTATGAACCTATTTCAATTGTATTTTCCTTATCATAATAAAAATGAATTTTGAAAATCAAATCAGTTTTCTCCGTTTTATTTAAATCATCGGGAAAAATATTTTTGAGCTCGCAATAATCATACTCTCCACATCTGTTAATTTTATTATTTATTCTGGTGATATGATTATATATCTTATCCTTATGTTTTGGGTCCATTGATGTAATATTCGTACAAGTATTGTTGTTATTAACATACATTTCAATTCGGTATATCGCTTGTCGATAAAATATTCGACGTTGTTTCTCATATTCATTTGGAAGTGGAAATAAAAATAGTGACATGTGTTCTTTTGAAACACCAACTTTTCCTCGCGGGTATAGTAAAAATCTCCAAATATTATCATCCTTTTTTTCTTGACCTTCTTTCGTTAATGGTGTTGATGGTGAATAAAACCTTTCACTTAAAATGAATTGTGATGTTTCCATATGGGAGTAAATATCTTGAAAATCTTTGACTATCCAAATATATGAAGTCAAATGAAAAAAGTCATCCTTATTAGGTTCAGGATTTGATTTCTGCTTTGCGTTCATAATTAAGAAAAAAATATTTTGAATTATGAAAAAATAAGATTTTTTTTTTCGTAAATTAATGTTTAAGCGTTTTTCTAAATGTGTGACAGGAATACGCCCCTTTTGCAAAACCTGTTAAACCTGTTCAATCGAAATTATGGACAATCACAATCGAACAAAAAAAATGGACTCTAAGCCATCAAAAAACTTCTTACTAAATTGCGTTCCATAAATCCAATTAAATAATCCTAGAATTACGCCTCACTAAAAGGTTATCGGGATTCCGATCATCGACAAACCTATTAACCTATTGTGTTGTGTTTGTATTTTTTCACAAAAAAATAAGTTGTATTATCTTATCTTATCTTATCATAAACAAACTCGTGCAATTTTGTAGATCCTGCATGTTATGATCATAACATCCAGCCACATTTAGCATAGCGGGCTTTCATTGTGATTGGTCAATTTTGCCGATCACTTTTTATTATTGACGAAATTCTATTGGCTGATAAAATCACGTGATTTAACATGAATCAAATCGAAAAGTAATTAATCAAAAGAAGAAAATAGTTAATCAAAAGAAAAATAAGCCCTGTTCATTTCTAGATTGGATCGGATTGATTGAAAATTAAGGTCTTGTATGATTGGTTGCTAATGCTATCAGGAGGTCGATCAATGTGAACAAAATTTTTGCAGTTCACCTTGATCGATCTTTTTTTTACGCGTTACGTCCTTGTACATATCATTTCCTTAAAATAAAAAATGTCTAACCCAAATTTTACTACCTTTCGTTCAATTATTCCAAAACTACCAAATCC